TGACAGCTGCGTGTGACTTCATTTATTTTCTGGTGCTTTCACTTCCAGATTCCAGAAGACAGTTGTAAGCACTGTGTAACTGCCTCGAGGGTGGTTGACCATTTTAACACAACGTGGTGCGATCATCCCCCTTGCGCGGAGCGAGGGTTCTCCACCCCACACAACATGATCTACTCGACCACCATTATGGCTGCCGCCAAAAAAAAAAAAAACGGAGTTAAAAAAAAAAAAACGGTAACCTGGTTGCCGAGTTCACGAAGTGAATTGGCTTGTTTTACAACGTCGTTGCCAAGCGACGAAAACCCAACCCCGATGGCAAACACCGGGGGGATGGGATCAAATACATTTACAAGTTACACCTACTATGTGGAGATCAATAAATCGGTACTGTAACCCTCTCGAGGTCGCGTGGTCCACGGTCTAACAACTTAGGCATGCAAAACATAAGTACGCCTCCCCCGCCCCGCCGCCGCCGCCAAAAACCCATGCTGCCCACAAGCCCGCCGTGACGCTCCCCTGTCCCCCAGACAACAACCGCGCTGAACCTTACCTTGACACCTAGACTGCTGCTACCGGGCTCCGCCGCAGCAGGTGCGAGCTTCACCCCGTCAAAGGCGACCCCCATGTCCTGCCCGTTCAGGCTGAACCTCATGGAGGCTGTCTGAGAGGCCTGGTCTATCTCTAGCAGGCAGCCGACGACGTCTCCCACCTGTCGCGACCGAGTGAGTCACACGCATGCACGCAAGGATGGACACAACACGCGCGTAATCGATTGGTGGAATTCGGACTTGTTTTCTGTTGTTGGCTTCGCATCAATTATCGCTCTGATCTCTGCGTTGTTGTTGTTGTTGTTGCAGCTGGTGTCTTCACATTAAACAACCGTTCCGATCTCTGCGTCGTTGTTGTCGTCGTCGTTGTTGTCGTCGTCGTTGTTGTTGTTGTTGTTATTGTTGTTGTTGTGACGTCTTCACATCAACCGCGATCTGATCTGTGCCTTGTTGTTTCAACAATGCTGGAGGTGCCCGTCGCCTGGGGATCCTGCTCTGGCTCGATCGATGCTGATCCATGGTCATCGGTCAACCTAGGCAAAAACAACAACGAGTACTCCCCCCCCCACCCCCCAAGTTAGGACCGCCTTTGTGAGAAATCAAGTGTATGAGAAATAGAACAGGGACAGAGTACGCAACCGTATCTCTTACCCAGCTTCCCTGATTGCATATTTTATCCCAACATGNCCCCCCCCCCCCCTAGTTACCTTCCAAGCCTCCCCGTAGTCGCTCTGTCCCTCGTTCCAGCGCTGCTGTCGCACCCCGTCGTACGCCCAGGACCCGGACACGTCGCCAATTCCGTCTCCGGACTCCGGTCCCCCCGGCACGAAAGTGTGGTCCGCCCACCCGATCTGCATCAACCCCGCCGTCAGCAGGGCCACCTGCTCCGTTCCGTTTCATTCCGTTACCGTTCCGTTTAGGGTGGGTTTGTGGGTCGATCGATCAAGCAAGTGTGTGCGTCGGTGAGCGGTTCGATTTCCCTTCTATCTTGTTCCGGGGGTTTCGTGGCGAGTCGCAAACCTGGTAGAGGCGTGGCAACTGCCAGCATGCCGTGAATCCAGCCTCACCCTCCCCACGCAAGGTGCGGCACAGCAAAAGCAAGGACGATGACCAGCTTCTGGTTTTCTATCCCTTGTGAAACGTGATAGCCCGGGCCTACGACAACCCAGCATGTCGCTCCGTCTCGGCATTGTTAAGATGCGAGGCCTCCCACCCCCCGGTGTTTGCCATCGGGGTTGGGTTTTCGTCGCTTGCCAACGACGTAAAACAAGCCAATTCACTTCGTGAACTCGGCAACCAGGTTACCGTTTTTTTTTTTTATTTCATGTTTTTTTTTTGGCGGTAACCCTAATGGTGGTCGAGTAGATCATGTTGTGTGGGGTGGAGAACCCTCGCTCCGCGCAAGGGGGATGATCGCACCACGTTGTGTTAAAATGGTCAACCACCCTCGAGGCAGTTACACAGTGCTTACAACTGTCTCTGGAAGTGAAAGCACCAGAAAATAAACTTAAGTCACACGCAGCTGTCATCCGTACGCAAGGAAGTAAGCACAAGATGCCGAACACCCTTAGCAGGATGCAGCGCACCCTCCATGCGACTCTCCGAATATCTCNTTGGGTTTTCGTCGCTTGGCAACGACGTTGTAAAACAAGCCAATTCACTTCGTGAACTCGGCAACCAGGTTACCGTTTTTTTTTTTTATTTCATGTTTTTTTTTTGGCGGTAACCCTAATGGTGGTCGAGTAGATCATGTTGTGCGGGGTGGAGAACCCTCGCTCCGCGCAAGGGGGATGATCGCACCACGTTGTGTTAAAATGGTCAACCACCCTCGAGGCAGTTACACAGTGCTTACAACTGTCTCTGGAAGTGAAAGCACCAGAAAATAAACTTAAGTCACCGCAGCTGTCATCCGTTCGCAAGGAAGTAAGCACAAGATGCCGAAAA